GTGAGAGGGGAGAACGGGCGTGGAGAGAGAGAGAGGGGAGAGCGGAGAGAGGAGGGGAGAGGGTAAGTGAGGGAAGGTATTTTATGAGAGATAGCTACAGGACTGGGGCGAGAAGAGAGGGTGGGGGAGTTATTTGGGGGGCGGTCAGAGATGAGAGTGAGGTGGGGGGAGAGAGAGAGCGGAGGGAGGGTGAGAGCCGAGTGGGGGAGCGAGGGCAGTGGGACAGACGAGAGAGAGAAGAGAGGGTGGGGGATGAAGAGAGAGGGGGGGAGAGAGCGAGGAGGGGAAGAGAGGGGGAGAGGGAGAGGGAGAGGGGGGTTGAGGGTGTGGAGGGGGGGAAAGAGGGGTATGAGATACTGGGCTGAGGAGAGAGGAGAAGTGGTAGGGGCTAAGAGAGGGAGGGGGGGGGGGTGAGGGGGGAGGAGAGGGGGGGGGATGTGAGAGGGAGAGAGGAGGGAGGGCGGGGAGAGAGAGAGAAGAGGGGGGGTGAGGCAGAGGCGGAGAGGAGGGGGGGGGGGTATTAATTGGCGGAGCGAGGGTGGGGGGAGGGTTATTTAACTCGTTCCACAACCCACAGAGAGGGGGGAACATAAGAACGATAGAGAACAGGGGGGGGGGAAATAGACCAGAGAGGGGGGGGAAAAATTAGAGGTGAGAGGGAGGGGAGTGGAGAGAGAGGGGGGGGGAGCGAGAGAGAGAGGGGGGAAGAGAGATAGAGGGGAGAGACGCGGAGAGAGAGAGGGGGGAGAGCGGTGAGACGGAGAGGAGGGGGGGGGAGGAGAGTATTTGGGGGGAGGTAGGGAGAGAGGGGGGGAGGGGAGAGAGAGGGACGAGGATGAGAGCGGTGTGGCGGCGCGTGTAGAGGCGCGCGAAGATAGAACGCGATGTGTGTGGAGTGTATGGGGTGGTGGGGGACGGGAGTGGAGAGGGGGGGAGGGGGGGGGAGTAGAGGGGGGAAAGATAGATGAGGGGGAAAGACGAGAGAGAGGGGAGGAGGAGAGGGGAGACGTAGGAGGGGAGGGTGAGAGGGGGGAGGTGAGAGCGAGAAGGTTATCATGTGATTAAAAAAAAATAAGTGGGTTCGGGAGAGGGGGGTGGTAAGAGTGGGAGGGGAGGGGGGTGGCGGGGGAGAGAGGGAGTAGAGAGAGAGGGGGGAGGGGGGCGGAGAGGGAGAGAGCATAAGAGAGAAAGAGGGGGGAGATATGTTATTTGGAAGATGAGAGAGAGGGGGGAAGACAGAGAGAGGTGTGAGGAGAGAGTAGGGAGGAGGGAGAGAGAGAGGAGAGAGAGGGGAGGGTGAGAGAGAGAAAAATAGGAGAGAAGGAGAGAGGGGAAGGACGGGATGTGGAGAGGAGGGGCGGCGGGAAAGGGAGAGAGAGATGGGTACCCTCATCGGGCGAGAGATGTGGGACGAGGAGGGAGGGGGGAGGGGGGGGGGGTATTTTGAGAGAGAGAAAGGGGGGGGAAGGAGAGCGGGGAAGGAGGAAGAGAAGGGAGTTGAGAGAATGGGAGATAAGAGAGAAGAGGGGGGGGCAGGGGTAAATGAGTAGGGTGGGGGAATGGGGGTGCAGAGAGAAGGGGGGGGGGAGAGAGAGAGAGATTATGAGAGGGGGAAAGAGGGGGAGGAGAGAAGAGTAGAGAGAGGGGGAAAAAGAGAGAGAGGGGGGGGGGGGAAAGATGAGAGAGGGTTATATAGAGGGTGGGGGGAAGGAGGGGGAGGGGGGTTTATTTAAGGGGGGGGGAGAAATTTATTATTTTTTTTAGCGTGGCGCGCGCGTGGGGCGTGCGCAGAGCAGAGAGATGGGGGGGTGGAAAGACGGGTAAAGGGAGGAGGGATAGGGGGCGAAGATAGAGAGAAGGGGGTGAGTTTTTATTTGGGGTGGAGTATTAATAGAGATAGATAGGGGGTAATTTTGCTAAGAGTGAGGGTAAAGTGGAAACAGAGGTAAGGAAGATCAATAATAGAGGAGGAGGGGAAAGAGAGAGAGGGGGAGGGGGAGTGTGGGGGGCGAATAAAGAGAGGGTGAGAGGGGAGGATTTATGGACGCGAGGAGGGTGGCGAGGGTTTATTATTTATGGGAGGGGGGAGAGGAGAGGGGGGGGGGGGGGAGGGGGGAGGGGGAGGGGGGAGGGTGAGGGTGGGGGAGAGAGGGGGATTAGAGGGGTGAGTGGGGAGGAAGACCGAGAGCAGGGAGGAGGGAGAGAGAGTGGGGAAAGAGAGGGGGGAGGGGGGATATAGTGGAGGGGGGAAGAGAGGGAAGGAGAACTGAGATTTTTAAAGATGGTTTGAGGGCTCGAGAGAGGGGGGGGGGGGAGAGAGGAAGAGGGAGGGCGCCGAGAGGGAGAGCGGGGGGGAGAGGAGGAGAGAGTGAGGGGGGAGAGGGAATTAGGGGGGGAGGGGGGGGGGAGAGGTGGGTGGGGGGAGGGGGGGGAGGGGGGGAGGGGGAGGAGGTGAGGGAGGGAGAGAGAGGCGGAGGGAGAGTAGGGTATTTAGAGTAGAGAGGGGGGGCCGAGGGAGGTGGAGGCAGTGGGAGGGAGTGGGGGGGGTGGTGTGGTGAGGTGGGGGGGTGAGAGGCGGCTGGGGGAGGGATGGATGGAGGAGGAATGGGACAGGAGGGGGAGAGAGCGTGCGGTGGGGGAGGGGGGGGTGATGAGGGGCGGGGTGGTAGAAGGGGGGGAGTGGGGAGGGGGGAGGGGGGGAGAGGGGGGGGGGGGGAGGGAGCTGAGAGGGGGAGAAGGTGGAGCCCGTCAGACATCGTGCCGCGGGGGGAAGAGCGTAGAGGAGAGGGGGAGAAGAGAGGAGGGGGAGGGGGAGAGAGGGAGGGTGAGGGAGAGAGGGGGGAGGGGGGGGAAGGGGCCGAGAAGGAGAGGGGCGGTATTATAGAGAGGGGTGGAGTGGGGGGGGGGAGAGGGGGGGGGGGTGGGAGAGAAAAGAGAGGAGGGGGTAACAGGAGAGGGGTAGGGGAGAGAGGTGGGGAGGGGAAAAACAAATGTAAAACTGTGGGAGGTAGAGCCAGAGGGAGGGAGGGAGAGAGGGGGAGAGGGTGCATCGGGCGGAGAGGGGGGGGTATTTTTTGAGTTGTGGGGGGTGAGAGAGGGGGGGGGGAGGGGGGGGCGGGGGGGGGGGGAGAGGGAGGAGGGGGGAGAGGGGGGGAGGGGCTTGCGGGGCGTGAGAGGCGTGCCGGGGACAAATAAAACAAAAAAAAGGAATGTTAGCGTAAAAAGTTGGCGAAGAGGCGGGGGGTAGGGGTGGAAGAGAGAGAGAGAGAGGGGGGGGGTGGTTTGGTGTGTTGGTTGGTGTGTTTTTATATTACGAAAGGTGGTGAGAGGGAGGAGGGCAGGTTTTGTTGGTGATGGTGTGTGTTTTTTTGGGGGGGAGAAGGGGAGTTGGGGGGAGGAGGGGGGGGGGGTGGGTGGTGGGGTGGGTGGGTTCCAATGGGAGGAGAGGGGAGGAGAGGAGGGAGGGAGGGGAGGGAGAGAGGGAGGGGATGGAGAGAGGGAGGGGATGGTGAAGAGGGGAGGGGATGGAGAGAGGGACGGGGATGAGAGAGGGAGGGGGGGAGGGGATGGAGTGAGGGAATAGGGGGGGTGGGGATGGAGAGAGGGAGGGGGGGAGGGGATGGAGAGAGGGAGGGGGGGAGGGGGGGGATGGAGAGGGAGGGGGGTGGAGAGAGGGGGGAAGAGGAGAGAGGGGGAGACGGAGAGGGGAGGGGGGGGAGAAAAGAGGGGGGGGGGGGGAGAGAAGGGGAGGGGGGAGAGAGGAGGGGGGAGGGGAGAGAGGGGGGGGGAGGAGAGGGGGGGAGAGAGAGGAGGGGGGGAGGGGAGAGAGGGGGGGGGGGAGGGGGGGGGAGGGGGGGGGAGAGAGGGGGGGAGAGAGGGGGGGGGGAGAGGGGGAGAGGGGTGGGGGGGAAGGGGGGGGAGAGGGGGGGGGAGAGGGGGGGAGACGGGGGGGGGGGGGGATGGGGGGGGGGAGGGGAGAGGGGGGGAGGGGGGGGGGAGAGGGGGGGGGGAGAATTTGAGAGGTTGTCCCGAGTAGGGAAAAACCCCGCTTTTAGCCTCTTTCAGTAGAGCGAAGTAGGGAAAAAAATTAAAAGGCGCCGGCACTGGGAAGTGGGCATCGCTCTGGTCTCCCAAAGGGCCCCTTGAGAGAGTGGGGGGCCCCTCTTTCCCTTTACTTATCACTATGCCCCCCGCAACCCGGGGACGGCGAACAGCAGATAGGGGTGTTTTCGGCCACCGAAATTTTGGTGCACTCCTAGTAAATAGTTTAATGTCCATACTCTGGGCACAGGTGCACTTTAATTTCCATCTTGTAAATAATGTTTAGCACACACTTAAATCATGTTTGTGATCTATGCAAATCTTGGTCCAATGGGAACCACTCACTTAACTCTTTCCAATATTATTACGACTAAACGTACAAAACAACATTCACATTCAAGACGTAGGGATCAGAAAATGGTCTCTCCGAAACAGTAATGTTTATCCATGATAGCAGTCTCTCTGAATAATTTTTTCATCACGAGTAGGAATAAAAACAGATGGCACAGAAGAAAGGCAATTGTTTTTAGGCCTCTTTCACACAGGTTACATCTGTTCCAATCAGCAGAGGATCTGTGAACAGACCCCTGCTGAATTGGAACCGAAACATATATTTTTGACATCCATGCCTGTTCACTTGTTTCCTGCTGGAGCTTAACTATGGTAGGTCTATGGGCAGGCAGACGTAGACAGACATGCATCTACTTACATAATTTTACCTCCTAATCATCATGTTTAGGTCCATAAAATATGGAACAGAGGAAGAACTTTTCTGTTTTTTGGTCCGAGGTATTGGGTAATTGGGTATACGTCCATTTACATCTGCCTGCCCATAGACTAACATGGAGCTTCCATTCACCTGAAGCTGATAGGCAGATCTGATTGAACACCTGTGTGAAAAGGCCTTAAAACAAACACTTAAAAATTTCATACCAGATAACAATTCATTAAAATATTACCGCTAGGTGATACTTTGACCAGTAATGAACAGCCCAAGTCACGACCAACAGGACTGCAGCAGATTTGCCAGCATTGTATACTTTAAAAGTCTAAACAAACAAAAAAATACGGCATTAGAATTTTTTTTAATGTTTATCCAAATAATAGTATAGTAGTTAAAGTCTACAACTTGCACAAAAAAAAAACAAAACAAAAAAACAAAGTAGCTTTTAGGCAACAATGGACATTCCACTAAAGTTCCTGCAGTTCCAACCACCTGTCCTTACATCACTGCAGTGTTCTGTAGGCTCATCCATAGGAATGAATGCAACTGCAATCTACAGGACCAGATTAAGGCCAGTTTCTTGCAGGGATGCACTGTGAAGATCAAAAGGATTTGGTGGAAGGCAAGAAATATACCAGCTAGGACTGCACTCAGAGGGATATAGAACATATATCTAAGGACTTGCTCACAGTTTACTTTCAGTAAGCTTCAAGCCGTTGTGTTGAAACATTTAATGACAGTCTCCTGAAAGCTATCTAAACATGAACAAAAATTAAATACATTGTAGCTTACCAGTCCATAGATATGGCGGCTGTATTAGTATTCATTATTCAGGCTAACAACATTTTTAGCAAGAACAGAACGTACCTGTTGATCTTGCCAAAAATGCAATATTCTCATGGCTTCTTGTGAGCTGAAATAATAAATCAAACAATGTCTTTTCCTTTAACATTCCCTTCTGTAATTTACCAATTCTCCTGCCTCCCATGATATGGAGATGGTGATGATTTTGTAGTCCTGTCCTAGGGTGACGTCTACGGCTCCCTCAATACTTACAGTGCCTTAGGACAGGAGGGGTGTTAGAACTGAAGGTGGGTGTGCAATAGGGTTGATACTCATGGAGGTGTTTATTACATTGAAGAAAATAAAATCATGATTCAGCATTGTTCAAGGTTTGTAAAAGCAATAGAAACTGCAATTCTATGCAAAATAATACACTTGAAGGATTAGTTCACCTTTTGACAAAAAATAATAAACGCACTTTTTTTTTGCAGGAAAAAAAAAAAAAAATGTGCATTTATTATTTTTTGTTGCAGGAGCCTGTAAACCATTGCACCATTGATCAGCAGATCGCTGGTGCCATGCAAGTCTCCTGCACACCTATCAGTATATCTGCTTGCCTGTTTGGGATGTACGGGCAAGCAGATACGCTGCCAGAAAAAAATCAATGAACTACCATGGTGCTCTACACTGTGTTAGTGGTTCATTGAGAACTACAAGGCGACAGTCGCTAAGCTGTCGGGACAGTTTTCTCATTCACAGAGGACTGAGTTTTTAAAATTTTTTTTTTTTTTTTTTAATCCTTGGGTAGCTGGACTCTCCAATCAGCAGGGAGCATGAGCTTTGCTGATAGGAGAGCACTAGCTCTGACTCTGTATGGGATGTATCAGACCTCCAAGATGGATCACAGGGTGCGAGGGTTGCACTCACCAGCATGTCTGTATATTTCCACAGCTCTCTGTCTCAGTGTTTCCATGCTGTGGTGAATAGAAAAGTGTCACTCTGTGACATTTCAATAAAGCTGAGAAAACAAAAAAGGTAACCAGTGCCTTTCCATGCAAAGCACTGCCCCACTGACAGACACTAGCCCAGTGTGGGCAAGTATGCAGCTGTTTTCTCAGAATTCTATTGTGTAGATTAGGGGTGTCAAACTGGTAGCCCTCCAGCGGTTGTGAAAACTACAAGTCCCATCATGCTTCTGCCTTTGGGAGTCATGCTTGTAACTGTCAAACTTGCAATGCCTCATGGGACTTGTAGTTTGGCAACAGCTGGAGGGCCACCAGTTTGACACTCGTGTAGTGAAAACAGCTATCTGTGTACTAGGTGATATCACAGACTGATAGGGAAACCTCTCAGATTCCTGATCCCTTCCATCCCCATCTGCACCCCCCGCTGGTCACATACAAAGTTCCTCCACAGGCTCTTCTCCTTTAGGAAGTTGCTCCAAAATCTATCCACTGGATTCTGTTTGGTGGGGGGCAGGACGGGTTCCCGAGGACTCAGCTCCTGATCCCTCAGCCATTTCCTCCGCAGGACCCTCAGCTGCTGCAGCCGTAGCTTCTCGTCTTCGGGGCTCAAAGCCATTACTATGTGAATCGGCCTCTCTACAAAGCACACCTCTGTTTCTTCAGCACTTCACAGAGGACACTCGGAGTCTTCGGCGCTGTTTAATGACGTCAGTCGTGGGAAAGGTGCACAGGCCCCCTCTGCTGGTTATTGATCAGTACTACATTGCTAGTTGTGACAAGCAGCCAATATGGAGTGGGGGTTAGCATTACAGTACATCTTACATTTGTAGACTGCTGTGTAGGTGGCTGCATGGTCTGTCTTTAATATTCTTATGGGGAATGTATAAAAACTCATCACATTATTTAGATATGCAATGCAGCTATTTGCCTTTGTCTATTATTTTTAGTAGTCTTTTGCAGGCCATAGATGGTTCGTTTATCGGCCAATTTTTCGCCCGAAAAACGAAACATCGGTTATTCTGTAAACCAATGTTGTCACCAATAATTGCGAAAATCGGACGTTTTTCACAAATTTTCCAGCATGACTGATAAAAGAAATGAGGAGGAACCGCAAAAATCGGCCGATGCCATTGCCCCACTAACAATGCGAAAATCGGCCGATTATTCTTTCGGACGAAAAATAGGTTGATAAACAAACCGTCTATGGCCTGCATTAGAAGAGAAAAACTAGTGTGGGCAGCACAGTGGCTAAGTGGTTAGCTCCTCTGCCTGGCAGCACTAGGGTTGTTGGTTTGAATCCCAGCCATGGCACCACCTGCCTGGAGTTTGCATGTTCTCCCTGTGCCTGTGTGGGTTTCCTCCAGTTTCCACCCACATTCCAAAGATATGCTAGTAAGTTAACCGCTTTCCATCCAGCCCATGTACATAAACAGCCAGACAGGAGCCGTGCCAAAGCGGGTGGCCGTTTATAAGTGGCCCCCACATTTACTGCCTGTGCACACTCCCTGGGAGCATGCAGCACCACGATCCGGAGTCCTCCAGACACAGCAGAACACAAATCACTGTACGGGACCTCTGTGTGGAGGTCCCGATTCATGTGATCACTGATTGGCCAATCAGTGATCACATGAACAGTAGTAAACAGATGTCACTTCATCATTGCTTACAATGTGTGAAATCTGTGAATGATCACAGAGGTCACATGGTACAAGGCTATTCACAACAGCCTTGTACCATGTGACAAGCTGTAACCAATAACAGCTCTCACAGTATTTCTCAATAGATGCAAGAATGCAGCCAGAGAGAAAGAAAAATGATTGCTTTTACAGCCTTTATGGGTGTAAAAGCAATCAGTGTAAAAAAAAAAAATCTTTATCACCCCCCACAAGTAGTACAGTGTTACTATAGTGACACTGTACTGCTAGGGTGACAGTATGTTAAAAAAAAACAAATAATAATATAAAAAGGATAATAAAAATGTAAAAAACATTTTTGAAAAATTATAATTTTTGGTTATAAACTAATTTGGGTTATTTTTTTTTACTAAAAAGATAGTGAATATATTTTGGGCAAGATTTATGAGGAAAGATTATTTATTTGCAAAATTTTATAAGAAAAAAACTTTTTTTCACAATGTTTGGACTTCTTCATTTATATAGCAAAAAAATAAAAAATCCCAGTGGTGAATAAATTCCACCAAAATAAAGTTTTATCTGTCTCAAAAAAATGCTAAAAAATGTATATGGGTACAGTGTTGCATGACCTCGCAACTAGATTGTAAGCTCTAACGAGCAGGGCCCTCTGTTTCCTCTTGTACCAAATTGTATTGGAACTGTAATGTCTACCTTCATTTTGTAAAGTGCTGCGCAAACTATTGGCTCTATATAAATCCTGTATAATATTATAATAGTAATAATTGTCATCCAAAGTGTGACAGCACTGAAAGCTGAAAATTGGCCTGGACAGGAAGGGGGTGAAAGTGTCCGGACTTGAAGTGGTTAATTGAATCCTGTCTAAATTGTCCCTAGTATGTGTGTGTATGAATGTAAGTTAGGGACCTTAGATTGAGGGTTAGGGACTGATGTGACTGTACAACATATATGTAAAGCACTGCATAAATTGACGGCGTTATACAAGTACCTGTAATAATAGTGTAACTAAAGGGCTTTTTTGAAACTATAACTAAAACAAAACGTTTTTTATCAGTTTTGGGTAGAGTGGTGAGGGATTAGAACCCTGTCACATTTTTATTGCTGTCTGTCCCCCCATTAGGGAGATTCTCCCTCTCTATTTGTCCTGTTTACCATTATCATTGAAAGCAAAAGAAAATCTCACATTTTAGGTTGACACCAGAATGGTAATAGAGGGGGGATCTTACAATTGGGACATTAGTTCTATGACCTGGTGGTCCCCAATGAATCCCTGAATTTGCAGGATTTTCCTCTCACTTCTTGTCAGGGGCGGACTGATAACTCATGGGGCCCCCGGGCAATAGGGGATCATGGGGCCCTTGTGTCCTTGCCCACACTCAAAGCACACCCAAAAAAGCCTATAAAAAGGTACCAGAGGCATTTCATGGGGCCCCCTACTGACCCCGGGCCCTCGGGCAGTGCCCGGGTGCCCAAATGGTCAGTCCACCCCTGTCGCAAACGTGCGCAACACACAGTGAAGGACGCTGACTCCATTTTGTTAAGAGTATCCATTTCTCCCTTATAATTCCCTCCCCCTCCCTTTCTGAGAGAAGACATTTGGCCAGCGTGTGTGTGTGTGTGTGTTGGTTGTGGGTCACTGGCAGGCCAAGGCATCTCTGAGCTAGGTGCCTGGCTGTCTGGGAGAACCTGTGCCATTTCACACCTCAGAACAGATAAGGCAAGCTTTCTCAGGAGTTGAAAGAGATTCTGACTTAATGAACCTAATGCAGCATAGGTGACAGAATCAGATAACACTCCTCAAAATCCATTTTTCCCCTATGTCTCATATCTTGGAATATGAGAAATGTACATAAAAACCAGACATACCGTCAGATTGGCTAGAAGGAGCCGGACAGTATGATGGGTCACGCGACTCGTCTCGCATACACAGGAAAGCAGAAAAATAGATCTCGTGAACCGTTCAGTATAGAATTACATAATTCATATCTAATCAATCCTCAGACTTGTCTGCATAATAATCTACCCGAGGGTGGAATGTCACTTGTGCAGATGGGAAGTTATGGGCCAAAATATGTGTTATGAAAGATTTTGGCTCTAGTTTAGACCTACGCCCAGACGTTCCCTCCCAAACGATGTATTGGTCCTTTGACTTCAGCAACACCCCTGCTGGAAACTACAAATTGGGCTGTCAGGCCTTAGATTAGAAGTTGAAGAATTCTCCCATTGACCATCGTAACATAGCTCTGAAACTTGGATCTGCTAACCCAGGACTTTGGCAAGTACTTTAACCCTTTCACCTCTCTCCGATATCTCTTTGCTGTGCTGTGGTTCTTTGTATATGTATATATATATCTTAGTTACATCTTTTTTCTGTAAATATTTTTATTGTACCCGTTTGACCTTTTAGTAATAAATCTTTCTTTCTGAAAGTGTTGAATTGTTTCTATAGCTCTGTATTGCAATTTACGAATCCCTGCCTCTAAAGAGAACGCTACTGTTTGCTTAACCCTCTGTATAACAGGCCTGTGTTATGACCGTTTTATACAGACGATTATCTCAATCATTATAGTGTTATAGCTTCCTCTTTCCCTGTACAAAAAGGAGGTGGTGGCAGTGTGAAGGGTTAATTGCATAATTAACCTGACCCAGTAACAATGGCCCAGGCTGTCAGTACATCGATTGTGGCCCATTAGCTGGGAAATCGTTGTGCAGGGTGCAGCTGAGTGTGGCATTGTTATGCACGTCACATCGCGGTTTTAGATTGGCTAGTCCTTCGGTCACGAGTTTGGTGAGAAGGTCTGGGGTCTGACACCGCGATCGTGACAGCCCGTGCTTCTTGTTTAGCTATGGGACAGGAAGTGAAGGGAAATCTCCTCAATAGGACAGAGCTGACAGAAAATAAATCATCATGATTCAGCATTGTTCAAGGTTTTTCAAAGCAATAGAAACTGCAATTCTATGCTTATAAATGCAAAATAATACACTTGAAGGATAAGTTCACCTTTTGACAAAACATAATAAATGCACATTTTTTTGCAGGTAAAAAAATGTGCATTTATTTTTTATTTTTTGCAGGAGCCTGTAAACCAGGGCTTAAAATTTAAAGTCCTGAGCTACTAGCCAGGCCTTCGAGTTACTCGCCACCAACAAACACACACAAACAGAGACACCTGTACACACATGCAGACATGTACATACACACAGAAACATATACACACACACAGACATGTACATATATATACACACAGAAACATGTATACACACATAGGCACGTACAGACATGCATACACACAGATACATAGAAATACACATGTACATACATACACAGACACATGTACACACAGACACATGTACGTACATACACACAAAAACCCACACACATGTACATACACAGACACATGTACACACACAGACACATGTACACACACATACATGTACATACATGCAGGCACATGTACAGATACACACATGTACATGCATACACAGACAAACACACACACATGTACATGTACACAAACACACACACTCCTATAAAACGTTGCAGTACTTCGTTGTTCACTCACAGATCCGAGTACTGCACGCTAGTTTAAGTTTTGGATAGAGTGAGGATAGGTGAGGGATTAGAACCCCAGTCACATTTTTATTGCTGTCTGTGTCACCATTAGGGAGATTCCCCCTCCCTGTTTGTCCTGTTTACCATTCTCATTGAAAGTGAAAGAAAATCTCACATTTTAGGTTGACACCAGAACAGTAAGAGTAAATATTCCAATGGGGACACCCCAGATTTCCCTCACTTTAGAGGGATTTCCTCTTACTTCCTGTTTTGGCTGTGGAACAGGAATTGAAGGTAAATCTCCCCAGTGAGACATAGATAGCGAAAACAAATACAGGGGTTATAACCCTCCTTAAGTCTAGGTTCACACCTAAGCGTTTTCCTCAGCGCTTTGCATTTTGCAGAAATCCACTACAG